TGGAGGATGTAATGACCCGACAGGTCGTTTTGAGTATCTGCACTTTGCTCGGTATTTTGAGGGCTCGAGTATTTCCGCATGATGTATTATGACTTGCGCAAATCTTCGCTGTTGATTTTCAAGTTATCCGGAATCAATTTGGAAGAATGAACTTCAAGATTTAAGTTCTAAGATGGAAGAATTGACCAAGTTTGACTTTTTAGCATACCTCAGAATGGAGTTTCGTCAGTTTCGATAGCTCCGTTGGGTGATTTTGGACTTAGGAGCGCGTTCGGATTGTAATTTGGAGGTCCGTAGTTGAATTAGTCTTGAAATGGCGAAAGTTGGATTTCGAGAAGTTTAACCGGGAGTGGACTTTTTGATATTGGGGTCTGATTCTGATTCCGGAAGTTTGAATAGGTCTGTAATGGCAAATGTGACTTGTGTGCAAAATTTGAGGTCAATCGGAGAGGATTTGATAGGTTTCGGCATCGGTTGTAGGAGTTGAAGTTTCAAAGTTCATTGATTTTGACTTGAGGTGTGATTCGTCATTTCGAGGTTGTGATGCGCTATTTGAAGCTTTAAGTAGGTTCATTTTTTCATATAGAACTTGTCTGTAAAATTTGGCGTCATTCGGAGTTGATTTGATATAGTTCGGACGCTCGGTTGAGATTCTAGAAGTTCTTGAAGTTTAGTTTGATTTCCATGCGTTTTGGCGTCCGATTCGTGATTTTAGAAGTTATTTTGATGATTTAAGCGCGCGAGCAAGTTCGTGTTGTGTTTTTAGACTTGTGTGCATGTTTGGTTTGGATCCCTAAGGGCTCGGGTGAGTTTCGAATTGGTTTCGGAATGGTTTTCATGAATTTTGATTTCTGGTTCTGGTTTCTTCGCATTTGCGATGCCTGGGCGGCTGGGCAGCTTTTCGCATTTGCGATAGATCAGCCGCATTTGCGAAGGCTGGTCTTCGCATTTGCGAGTCTTTGTCGCAAATGCGACCTCAGCAGAAATCCTTCAGGTTCGCAAATGCGATGAATTCGCATTTGCGGTGCGAACCCGCTGTCGCAATTGCGACATCTGCAACCTGTTAAGTGCTGAGAATTCCGAGTTTTTGCTTTATTTTTCATATTTTTGAATCCTAGCTTCGAGGTGAGGCGATTTTGAGAGGGGATTTTCATACCAAAACATTGGGTAAGTATCTTTAATCAATTTCCAACTATATTTCATAATTTTATACAAGATTTAACATCAAATTCATGAGAAATCTATGGAAAATTTTGGGAATTTTGTCAAAGTTTTGAAAAATGAAATTTTGAGATCTGAGAGTTGAATAGGACTCGGATTTGAAAACAAAACATATATTTGGACTCGTGGGGCTATGGGTAGTCAAGACCTACCCTTGGACCCGGGTTTTGACCGGGTGGGCCCGGGATTTGACTTTTGTTGACTTTTTAAAAATTGAATAAAAACTACAGCTTTATTAATTGAAATTGTTTCATCTTGCATGGTGTTATGTATTCAAGTCATCTTTGGCTAGATTGAGCTGAGCGGAGGTGAATTTGTAGAGAAAAAGGCTAGAGTGAGTGTTGAGTTAGCCGAATTGAGGTAAATGTTTTGCCTAACATTGTTGAGGGAATTTTTCCTCTTATTTGTCATTGTCTGCAACATGCGGGGGTGATGTATATATGAGGTGACGAGCGTATATGTATGTGACGGGGTTAATCATGCTCAGGGGTAGATTATGCTATAATTGTGTCTTGTAGGATTACGTAACTTCCTTGCTTCATGCCTCACTTGATTTATAGATATTAAGAACGTAGTATAAAATGTTAGAAATCAACACTTAGCCTAATATAACTTGATCACATTTGATAGAATTCTGAGAATACATTGATGTGTCTAGTTTGGTCCTCTCTATGCGTAATCACCACTACATTGCTACGGTCGATATTTTGAGATGCTGGATTCTATACTTGTGTTACTGATAAATTGTGAGATTTGTGGAAGTACTTGAATTATACGGCCCTTGAGGGTTTATTTAATCGTTGTTGGCTTAGAAATTCCGTGATTAAGAAGTTGTTGGAATATTCGTTTGAACACTCTCCTCGATGTTATTTATACTTCATGCCTTGTCATTTTATTGATATCATATGCTTGGTAAGGAAGAGTGTAAAGCACGAAGGGTGATGTCGTGCCATTTCATATACATTATCATGTGAGGAAAAGTGTAAAGCACGAAGGGTGATGTCGTCCCATTTCATATACATTATCATGTGCAGGGTGATGCCATGCCATTTTATATACATTATCATGTGATTAAGAGTGTAAATCACGAAGGGTGATGTCGTGCCATTTCATTTATATTGTTATGCTTTTAATATTGTGAGGTCATGGCACGAAGGGTGTTTTCGTGCAGGTGAGGATGAGGGACATGCATTATGATGTGATATTTGTTTTCCGTGTATACATTTCCGCCTTTACCTTGAGCTGTTATTGTCATAATTAAATATTTTGAGTGATATGTTGTTACTGTCCCGTACTTGACCTCTATCTCAATTGTTGTTGTGTTATCCATGTCTTTTACTTGCTTAACTTGCATATGCCATGCCTATTTCCTGCTTTGAAATTATACTCATGCCATACCTATTCTGTCGCACTCTAGTTTAAGCATTGCATCATGCTAGTCATTCATGACCTTACTTGTTAACTTGTAAAGATCATGTGTTTCCTTCTTATTTGTCATATTTGTACTTAGGCCTCCAATATACTAGTTAATTGACATTGATACCCCCTCCCCCCCCCCCCTCTTGCTTTCAAATTGTTGTTGTTACTCACGTGCTTTTCGTTTAGTCCTTTACTTTTGCCCACATGTATATCCTTGTCCATTTTTGTTACTTGCGTATTTCCCACTTTATTATTCCTGTTATTGTGTTTCTATCATATGGTTGGTTCTGTTATACGTTCATTTGGAAGGATGAGTTGAACGCACGAAGGGTGTTGCCGTGCTAATTGAATTGTTACATAAATTTATTTATACATGGTGAGGATAAGATAAAAGCACGAGGGTGTTACCGTGCCATGTGATTTGATATTTTGGATATACTTCTCATACCATGAAAGATCGTAAATCTTCTACTGTGGATCCTTTTAGTAATTTTTGACTGTCTCGCCGAGTTGTATATGATACTTTTATCTGTTATGCTTTAAACTGCTTTACAGCTAATCTAATGTACAGGTTATAAAATAAGCATCTTTTAACTAAAAGCCTCGTCACTACTTCAACGAGGTTAGGCAAAATACTTACCAGTACATGGGGTCGGTTGTACTGATACTGCACTTTTGCACATTGCGTGCAGATTTTGGAGCAGAGCTGCTGGTGACGTCGGGTGCTGATTCGGAAGATGTTCGTGCGTTTGGATATAGCTGCCATTGTCCTTGGTAGCTTAGGTTATTGCTAATCTGTTTATGTAACCTTCAAACAGAACGTGTATTTATTTGTATCAGTTTGAAATTCCAAATCTTAGAAGCTCGTGATTCGTACTACCAGGTCTTGGGTAAACTAGTAGATGATCAGTTCTCTATTCTCTATTCTCTTAATCTCAATTGAGTAGTATTTTCTGTTAGTTGGCTTACCTAGCGGGTTGAGTTAGGTTATAGAAGTGATTAATCCATCATCTAATTAAATATGTTTTGGTTATGGATGAAAATCAACACGATCACTAGTTACTGGTGGACAGTCAAATTAATGGTGTATTCTTGTTCTATCACTTGACATGTGTGATATCTTAATTAGTACTTAATCAAGTGCAATAATTAAAGGCTTAATTTTCTTATCTAAGACGGCGAGATAAGTCAATGCGGCATCCTTGTACCATCCTTAATCCGCATCAACTTCTATGTAGCTAAGCTTTTTCTTTCCTTGACGCAATGAATACCGCAAAATACTAATTAATTGTGCCATGAGTAGTAATTTTGAAATGATAATACTTTTTAAAAAAAAAATTAATATTGAATTTTAATGAAGGGTATTACTAGATTACAATTGACATTCTACAATAGTTGATTTTATTTTATTCTTTTCTTGGTAAATGACATGATACCAATTCCTATTAGAATACTAGTGAATGATTGATTAAGAAAAATAAATAAAGTGCACATGATTTTTAGAATGATTAACAGTTAAATACGAAATCCACCCCAGGTTCATTAATCATATCGAAGCTGGGTTCAGGATCCTTGTACAATATTACTATTGAATTTCTTGATTGGCAAGGACAATCAGTCACCGCGTGTTTTTGTTGAATAGACTATGTGGCAGTTTTCAACGAAAGCAGAATTATTTTTTTTATTTAAAAAAAAAAACATAATACTTTAGAATATATTGTAGTAAACATGATTTCAACGAGGGTGAAATATTTTTCTTTGTTTGGCAGCTAAAATAGTAAAGTAAGCATAAATTTATAATGTTCAATATGTTCCTACAAAGTATATAAATTAAACTTTTGTTTTTAAAAAATTATCTTAGGAAGGATGGTTAAGCAAGGAGAACTGATACTTCTAGAAAAGCCAAAAGTGAATAAGAAAAATCCTTTATTTTTCCTTTTCCTTTTTCTTTCTTTGGAAGTTCATATTGTGTTTCCCCAACACCTTAAGTTTAATTCGTTCTCATGTATTACACTCTTAACAAAAAATTCATTCTGTGAATTGATGAAACAAAACTACAAGCAAAAGAGAATAAATTTTCATATATGCTTGATCATTAAATCCTTGACCTAAGGGTCTATCGGAAATAACATCGGTAAAGGTAAGATTTGTATATACACTGCCCTTTCTAGATCCCACTTGTGGAATTTTACTGGGTTTGTTATTGTTATTGTCGGATCATTACAAATAACTATTTAATGTAACTAATATTCTCCTAAAGGTAATTATGCACTTAAATTAGTGAACATAATATGAGGTAAGCACTCAAGTAATCCTTCAAGAAAAGTCCATAATTTTGAAACTTCTCCACTAAAAGAAAGAAGAGAACAGTGAAATTATTGGTCTCTTTAAGTATCCTAATTTCCCCAAGTAAAAGAAGAAACAAAGATGGCAGAGGTAAAAGTTCATGGTATTATAGCAGGCCCCTTTAACAAAAGAGTTGAATTAGCCTTAAAACTGAAGGGTGTGGAATACGAATACATTGAAGAAGACAGGTCCAACAAAAGTGCTCAACTTCTCAAGTACAATCCTGTTTATAAACAAGTCCCTGTGCTTGTCCATAATGGAAAGCCAATATGCGAGTCGCTCGTAATACTTGAATATATTGATGAGACTTGGGGAGACACGTGTCCTCTCTTGCCTAAAGATCCATATCAGAGAGCCATGGCTCGTTTCTGGGCTAAGTTTATCGATGAAAAGGTACATATATATATATATGTTCCCATTTAATTGCAATTAGTTTCTTTTTGTTTAATTATTTGGTATTCGAAATTGACCGGTCGACTCATCTGATTCGCGATTGATACATTCACTAAGTGATGATTCGTGCCACACTGGAGTAATTCAATATGTGTGATTAGGGGTGTATATGGACCGGGTTGGTTCGGTTTTTATCACAACCAAACCAAACCAGCTATATCGGTTTGGATTAGTTCGATTTTGCCGGGTTTTCGAATTTTTTTGTTATATAAATATTATTTCAATCTTACTTTGTTAAATTTTTGATAATTAAATATATGTTTAGTAAAAGTTTAAAAAATTGTCAAAGCGTGTGATCTCTTATCATATTCTTATGGGAGAATTTTCTTAGTAACATATGATAGTTGTTTTTTTAGTCGTCTGACAATATATAATTTTTTGTTGATGTATACGTTCAAGGTTAACTAAATTTAATAATTAAACATAAAATCAATATGATACCTATATAATAATATGTTCTATTTAATTTTAAATTATCGAAATACCACTTCAAATTCGACATATGAATATGGAAGAACAGAGAGATTGACGCATTTCATTAACACTTGATAAGAAAGTGATGAGAGAAATTTAAAAATAGCCAGATTTACAAGCGGTCATTCAAAAATAGCCACAGTTTCAAAAGCAATCGAATTTTAGCCACTTTTCATGTAAAGATAAATCTGAACGAAAACACTGTTCAAAATCTGAAAAATACTCTAGTATAATATACTAGAGTTCAGTATAATATACCGGTCCAAAAATAGTGGCTATTTTTCAATGACTTAGAAACACTGGCTATTTTTGAATGATCAGTCCGAAAACTGGCTAGCCCGTGCTATTTTTACGAAAGTGATCATACATCCCATTATTTAAAGTTAATAAAGATAGAGCACTTCATATTTTATGAAATATTACATCCCATAAGAGAATCTTAAATATTTCTAGACATTTTTTAAAGAAAATCCTATGAAAAAGTCTTAAAAGTATATATAAAAATTATATATTTATATGTCGGTTTGGTTCGGGCTTTTTTACTCAATACCAAACAAAACCTAATCGGATTTTTTAATCAGTTTGATTTGACTTTTCGATTTGGTGCAATTTTCCGGTTCGGTTTGTACACCCCTATGTGTGACTCCGCGTGCTCCATCACTTCTCCGTTAAGTCTAACAAGATGAGCAAAAACATTTGGTCCAAATAGAGTTAGAAGGAGCGTTTAAAATGGAAAGCTTTTTTTCAGCGGAAATATTTAGTATTTTATCCAACTCTTTTATTATTTTTTATGCATCTACTAAAGAAATTTTTTATCAGTTATTGGGTGCATTATACAAACTTGTTTACGGCAAAGGAGAAGAGAAGGAGAAAGGTTGGGATGAAACTTGTGAGCTTCTGAAATTCCTTGAAAATGAACTCCAAGATAAGAAATTCTTTGGAGGAGACAACATTGGATTCCTCGACATTGCTGCCAGTTACATTCACTGGTTTGGAGCAATTCAAGAATCACTAGGATTGGAACTATTGACCGAAGAAAAATTTCCCAAGTTAAGCAAATGGATTGATGAGTTCTTGAGCTGTAGGATTATCGTGGAAAATCTCCCTCCTAGAGAAATATTAGTGCCATTATACAAAGCTCAATTTGAAGCAGCAATCAAATGAGGATCAATAGCGTAACATCCTCTTTCCTTCCGTGATGTAATAAAAAATAAAAATAAAAACAAGTATGGCCTCCAGCTGAAATAAAGGTGTGAATGTATGATATAGAGTACAATAAAGAATACTATTCCTTGTAATCTATGTCATTAGCAATAAAGGATGTTGACCATTGTGTTATTTTAACATTGAGTAGAAAGAAAGACGAATCAACATGCTTCCTTAGAAAGGAAGTCTCGTTATCAAAATAAATTAGGAGTACGTTTGACAAAGCTATCAAAAATTTCTTATTTTAAAAAGTATTTTTATTTAAAAGTGTTTTTTGAAAAAATACTTTTGCAAAATATTAGTTTGTGTTTGGGCAATTTATTTGAGTAGTACTTTTTGCAAGCTCATTGTGTATAGCCATTTTTTTCAAAAAAGTACGTTTAAGTATCAAATTACGAAAAAAGACAATAAAAATTCAGTTTGTGATTAGTATTACTTAAAAAAATTAAAAATCTACTATAGAAACTTCAATTAAAATATAAAGTAAAAATATAAATTAAAATTTCAATCAATATAAAAAATAATTACTCAAAGCAATAACATTGAGTATTTGATATTACTTCTTGTTTACACGATAATTTAAATATATCAAAATACATCATTTAATATATATTTAAAATTTACTCATAGGAATAAGAAAAAGAGAATAAAAATATAATTGAGAGAAAAAAAGAGAAAAAAGGTATAGTAGAAAGGAAAGGAAAATGAAAATATAAACTAATGAGGGATAATTTAAAAAATATAAATTTACTGAAAGGTTATTTTGTCCTGAACAAATTAATTTTCTGCTTTTGCTTCTCGGAAGAAGCTAAAATTTATAGCTTCTCCCAAAAAACATAAAAACTACTTCTGTTGCTTCTCATAAGTACTTTTTTATCTTGGCCAAACATTCTAAATTTTTTAAAAAGTACCTTTTTAAAGAAGAAAAAAAGTACTTTTGGCCTCCCAAAATCTTGGCCACACAGGCTCCAAGTAGTTATGGAAAACTGAGTTTGGAAAATATGCATTTGTTGGATAATTGATTGCTTTTCGAAATCTTTTTCTTTTTGGTTAAGCAGAGATTTTATTTAATAACTAAGGAGCATTACAAACTTCTCTCATGGATATCCCATTGGATTTTTCGAAATCTATTGATTGATTATAGTTGTAAATAAAACTTAAGAAGGAATATATATAACTACAGCCCTAAGTTATTGTAAGGAGCCCCTGTTGTTTCATTTCTTTATTCTAAATCTAATACCGTCAGATCTTTCTATAATAGCATTCCTATATAACATCTGTTCACTATAAAAATCAAGTATTTCTTGGAAACAATTCATATGTTATGTTATAGTATATGTTTTTTATAACAAAATTTTACTATAGCACCCAAAAAATATCGAAATAACCGAGTTTGTTATAGAGAGGTTTGATTGTATATCGTAACTGTGATGGAATATTATTCTCTAAGCCTATTCATTGTAGTCTATCCTTCTATATGCGTATAAGATTTAAATTATATTAAATGATACTGCAAATGAATGTTTAAATAATTATGGAAATTTAATCTATTTTAGTAGATAACTGGTCTTATTTCTTTGTTTATCAATTATACTAATAGATGTAGGGAAATGACACGGAAAAATAATAATAATACTGTAATAATATTATTTGTAAGCAGATACACGAAGTAGCTTGAGTTGTGCTGGGCACTGTTCTGAGAAACTATTTCAGCAATGTGAAATGTTTCTCTAGGATTAAACAAGCTCATCTCTATTTATTTAGAGGATACAGGAACCAGCAAAATTAGATAACAAATCCAACAACAACAACAACAACAACAACAACAACAACAACAATAATAATAATAATATGTAATGATTGTAGGAAGAAAGTAATGATTAGCTAAAGAAGAATTCTTGGTTAAGAATTGAGTTAATATGATGGCTAAAGACCATCCTATTTATAGCGTGAAAATGAGTTTAGTTTCATGACAAGTGTCTTACTTACTTGTCAATTTTTCTTTCATGCAAGATGACAACATATCTCATGCAAAATGATACTTGGCTTAGCAAGGCCATTTGTCAAACAATCTTTTAAATCAATGCCACATGTAAAAACTCTTGTCATGTACCAATTATCTAAGAGTATTTGGCCACAAAGCTTTATGCAAGAAGCCACTTGGAAATAGATAGAACACTTGTAAAATAAAAAGACCCATGGCTATTTAAAATTTTGAAAATATTCCCACAATCCCCACATAGTTTCAAAATTTATAGGATAAGAGTAAAGGAACGAAAGAATTGATTGCTGAATTTGCATGGTACAGATGTAATAGGTTTTGTGTCTTTTGGACTATGAACCAAACATAGACCAATAAAACTTAACTCACATAATTACTGGTGAAATATGATATTTCTATGAACCAATAATTCTTATTGTAAGTCAGAGATTTTATCAATCACATTTTGACCCCCGGTAATTTTGCTGTTCAACGTGGTTTTGCGACCAATAGGCCATGCGCGTGCCTGGTGATTCATGAGAGCTCTAGAGACTAGGCCAAAATCTCATAGGAGCGGCCCACTCCACTCTCATATAGGTGAATTCATCAAGTGTATACTAGTTTTAAATACACCATCCATAAGGACTATGAATTTCATTAAGAGTTATAACTTGCCTCTCAATTAGTAGCAGTCAAGCACTCTCTTTTAGTGCATCAATGCCAATATCGACTTGTTATTACTCATATGAATTTACTTCATGGGATCTCCAATCACATAGATTGAGTTACCATCTCTATTGACAACATGACGGTCTTAGCCCCATCTCTTCTGAGGTTTGAAGAATTAATTTTCTTCCCATAGGTTTAGTCAGAGGTTCGGCCAAATTTATCTCTGACTTTACATAGTCAATGAAAATTATTCCATCTCTCAACAGTTGTTTTATGACATCATGTCTCAATTTCATGCGTTTACTTTTACAGTTATAAGATTTATTCTTTGTTATAGCTATTGTCGCTGTAACGACCCGACCGGTCGTTTTGAGCAATTGCACTCCACTCGGTTGTTTGAGGACATGAGTAGCTCCGTATGATGTATTATGACTTATGTGAATCGTCGGTTTTGATTTTCAGGTTATTCGGAATTGATTTGGAAGGATGATTCTCAGCTTGAAGCTTTAAATTTGAAAGGTTTTGCCATGTTTTGACTTTTAGTATTTGGCCTCGGATTGGATTTTTGATGGTTCTGTTAGCTCCGTTGGGTGATTTTGGACTTAGGAGCGCGTCCGGATTGTGATTTGGAGGTCCGTAGTTGAATTTGGCTTGAAATGGCGAAGGTTAGAATTTTGAAAAGTTTGACCGGGAGTGGACTTTTTGATATAGGGGTCGGATTCTGATTCTGGAAGTTGGAGCAGGTCCATAATGTCAAATGTGACTTGTGTGCAAAATTTGAGGTCAATGATTTGATAGGTTTGGACATCGGTTGTGGAAGTTGAAGTTTCAAAGTTCAATGATTTCGAATTGAGGTGTGATTCGTCGTTTCAATGTTGTTATGTGTGAGGTGTAGCAACTTGGATTTGCTCATTGGAGACTCAAGGTAAATCTGCTGGCGTTCGCAGACCTTGAAGTCCCCTTCTATTTTCCCCTATTTTTATTGTTTCTTTTCGTTCAAAACAGTTGTATTTCTTTCAGACTCTGTTTGTAGAAAATCCTGGAAACTCCTGAGTTGTGACTCCAGATCCGGATTGTAGTAAATATTATGGGCATTTATATTATTCCGCACTCGATTTTATTTTACTTTTGGCTTAATTGACTTTATTTATTGAAATTGAATAATAATTGGCTTAACGGTTCTCTAACGTCGTCTTGCCTAGCAAGTGAAATGTTAGGAGTCATCACAGTCCCGAAGATGAAAATTCCGAGTCGTGACATAAAAACATACGTTTGCTTCCCCGAAAAGGCCCAAGCCTATGTCACTCCGTTTCAAGAACCGAAAATCCAAAGATACATTCACACACTATCATATTCCATATACATAATTTTCTGTTAAAATCCACGAATGTTGTTGGCAAAGAATTCACAGTCGCTTAGTTAGACAACTTTGCAAATAGATTCCGACAATCTCATCTAAAAAAGAAGCTCTTTCCTCAAAATATATTTCTGTGATCTCTTACCTAAGCCTTAACTGTGAAAATGTCCAACTAGTGTAGAAGTGAAATTAGAGATTTCTCTAACCACTTAGGTTAAAGTATACATGCATCCTAGAGGAAGTGATTGAAATATTTGAATAACACGGAACACTTAGTATAGTCTTCTTGTCTAATCTGTACTTAAAAAAAAAAAATAAAAAAAAAAATAAAAAAAACTCACCAGTCAACTTTCTAGTGAAACAAGGAGCACTTCGACTAAAAAATTTATCTGCGTTATATAAGGATATTAGGGGTTAGAAACTTTCATATGTAATTGTAGCAATCCCATTGATTTATCAATCTCCACATCTCTAGCAAAAAAACAATACTCTTTCTTGAAACATGAATGACAAAATTCACAGTCTGGGGCTACAGCCAGGGTATACCATAGATAATCACCCTTTCAATCATTCTCTATGAGCAAACAACATGTGAAATTTTGTTACATAACCATCCCCGTCGATGTTCAAAACCTGTAAAGAAGATAAATACTCTTAATAAGCGACTGTTTGAACATGAGGTAGCAAGATAGAAGCTTCAGATTAAGGATAGATGAAAACAAAATACACGGCAATATCTGTCCAATAATATAGCTGGCTGTAGGATTGAGTGGCAGGAATTCCACAAGTCCAACAACTTCTTCTGGTTGACCACAACATCCTATATTTATGAAACTAAAATTAGTTAATGCAGCTATGGTTTAAAGGAACTCTACTGTCAGTTTAAAGGAACTCTACTGTCATTTTACCTGTCAGATTTAGTTTTAATTACTTCATTTTCTAGAGTCAAAATTATCTATTAATGGACGGAAAATCTGTTAATGCATCTGATGTTGTCCTATTCTACTTGGAATCCTAGTCCTAGAAGTCAAGTAGAACTCTCCCTTGTTTTAGATGTGGAACTCGTCATTATGTTGAGATATAAATGCCAAAAATACTTTTAAAAGGTATCTGCCCTGACCTAAGGGAACA